TATCCTATTGATTTTACCTTCATAACATCTCTTGTATATATTCCCTTCTTTCCCCCAACACTGCCACCACCCAGGCGCAGGCCTTAATCACCTCACACCTGGGTTTGGAAGCAACAGTCTGCTGATGGGTTTCCCTGCCACATGTTTCTCTCCACAACAGTCCACCCTCCACTTCCCTGTCAAAATGATATTTTGGTACAAGATATAGTACAGATCTGATCATTTCATCCCTCTATTAATAAACTCCAGAGGCTCCCTATCACCTTCAGGATCAAATATAAAAGCTTCTGTTTGGCATCCAAAGTCTTTCATAACCTGCCACCATTCTACTTTTCCATGACCCCATGTTAAAAACCTCTGGTATAGAAGGAGAAGAGATGAGGGCCTAGGAGAGTATTAGGGAACTCTGAAAATTATTGGGTGTGATATGAATGAAAAAGCAACAAAGGAGATGGAGATGATGGTCAGACAAACAAGAGGAGAACCAGGAGAGAATGGAGTCACAAAAGGTAAGAGAAAATATTCAGGAGGAGATGGTGATTGACAATATCAAAGGCTGAAAAGAGGTGAAGAGGGGTGAGGATTGAGAAAAAGCCTCTATATTCAGCAATTTAAGAAATCATGGGGATTTCCAGCCAAGATGGCTGCCTGAACAGAGCTAGACCACCAAATTTAGAGATAGACCACCAAGTTTCCATTTACCTATTGCACTAAAATCCTGAAATTCAAAGGAAATAGAATAATAATCAAAAAATTGAATGACAAACTAAGTGACTTCTTCCACCCCAGAATTGCTCAAAATGTTATGACTTTACAGGTAAACAAGCCAGGAAGACCAGCTGTGGGCAAAGACACATGCAACCTAAAAGATTCTATGTCTACAGTCAGCAACAGCAGAAGGTCCCCTTAAAACAATCCACTGAGATCAGAAATCCAAAGGATAGAGACTTGGAAGCCCCAAGGATCAGCAGCAATCAGAACAATCAAAGCAGAATGACAGTACTCACAACTCAGACAGCCCAGGTAACCAAGCACTGTGTCCTGAGACACCACACATGAAGATTCTGAATGATCCTTAAAGAAACAGAAAGGTCTAACACGAGGAATAGGGGTCAGTATAAGCATTAAGGGGACTCACAGATTGAACCACTTCAAGCCAAAAGTGCAGCAGGAGGCAGAATTAGACCTGATACAAAGCCCCGATTCAGGAATTAAAACTGGAGAAATGAGTTATTCAAAGAAAATATCAACCCATTATCAAAAATATCTAGAGACCAAAAAAAAAAAATCTAGAGAAACCCAAAAGGGACCTAGTCACTGCATAACAACTACAAGCAGAATTTCAAATGGTAAATGGATTTTTCACAAGAACTACATTAATACCTGGAAGAAATGAAGCTCCTTTAAAGGAAAAAGGATGAAATAAAAGCTCTAAGGGAAAGAATTCAACAGAGAATAAGCTTAAAAGAAAAAGTGTACAACCTCACTCAAGTAAGAAAATCCCAGAGAATTAGAATGGACCAAATAGAAATCAATGACTCCATGAGGTAGAAATCCTAGCCACTGCAATAGGGCAAGAAAAAGAAATCTGAGTGAATAAGCAAAGTCAAAGAGGAAACAAAATTACCATTTTCTGCCGATTGAGGGTGGTTGAACTAGAAAAGTCAACTAAAACTTATTTGAAACAATAACTTCAGCAAAGTTGCAGAATATAAAATAAATTCATATAAATTATTAGCATATATTACCCCCAAAATCGAATAGGAAGTAATAAAAAGAGAAATTCCATTTAAAATTACTACAGAATATATAAGATACTTGGGTATCTAACTACCAAGACACAAAGGAATTACTCAAATACAATTACAAAATATTCTTTACAGGAATAAAGACATACCTAAAATGACACATCATGCCAATAAAATAAAAATAACAATATTATCTAAATTAATTTACTATGCTATACCTAATTACCAAAGGATTACCTTATAGACTTAGAAAAAAATTCATAAAATTTATTTGGAGGAACAAAACCTCAAGAATCTAACAATCTTTTTAAAAAAGTGAGAAAAGAAGGGAGCTTATAGCTTCAGATCAGGGGTGGGGAACCTGCAGCCTCAAGGCCACATGTGGCCCTCCAGGTCCTCAACTGCAGCCCTTTGACTGAATCCAAACTTCACAGAACAAATTCCCTTAATGAAAGGATTTGTTCTGTTTATTACAGGGATTTGTTCTGTAAAACTTGGACTCAGTCAAAAGGCCGCACCCCAAAAACCTAGAAGACCACATCTGGCCTCACAGCCACAGGTCCCCACCCCTGTTCCAGATATCAAATTACACTTCAAAGCAGTAATCATCAAATTATTTGGTACTGATTACAAAATAGGGGTCAATCAGTGGAACAGAGTAGCTATACAATACAGAGATGAAAATGAACGTTGTTGGCTAATGTTCAATAAACCCAGCTACTTAGGTAAAGACTATTTCACAATAACCTCTGGGAAAAATAGAAAGTAGTATAGCAAAAATTAGATTTAGACTAACATATATACCACAATTAATTCCAAAATGCTACCTAGAGAGAAAAAGTCACATCATAAACAAATTAGAGAAAGAATGCAGAAATACCTTTCACATTTATGGACTGGGGAGCAGTCCATGACCAAAGTATAAAGAAAGGGTTACAGAAGTTAAAATAAACAATCTTGATTACATAAAATTTAAAAGTTTTGAAAAAATAAAATCAAAGCAGCTAAGTCAGAAAAAGTTAAGTAGAAATGACTTTCCAGCAAATTTCTCTGATAAATGTCTCATTTCTAAGATATGTAGGGAACTAATTTGTAAGAATAAGTCATTCCTCGACTGATAAATCAAAAGGATATAAAAAGGCAATTTTCAAAGGAAGAAATCCAAGCTACCAATAGGAATATGAAAAATGCTCCAATCACTAAATGTTAGAGAAATGCAAATTAAAGCAACTCTGAGGTCTCACTTCACACTCATCAGTCTGGCAAAGCTGACAAAAAAAGAAAAATGACAGATGTTGAAAGGGCTACAGGAAAATAGGAAATACACTGCTGGTGCAGACATTCTGGAAAACAATTCATTACTTTTTTAAACCAAAAAGTTACTAAATAGTATATGCTCTTTGATCTAGCAATATTATTACTAGTCATCCCCTAAAAAAAATAAATCAAAGGAAAAAAGTACCCATATGTACAAAAATGTTTATAGCAGCTCTTTTTGTAGGAAACTATGGGGGTTGTCCATCATTTGGGTAACGGCTGAACAAATAATGATAGATGAATGTAATGGAATACTATTGTTTCATAAGAAATTACAAAAAGGAATTTTCAAAGAATTTCTGAGAAACCTAGTAAGACTCGTATGAACTACTGCAAAATGAAGTGAGCAGAACAAGGAAAACTATTTATATAATAACAAAGCTGTATAGACAAATCTGCGCTAGACAGAAAGATTTTAGAGCTCTGACCAATGCGGTAACCAACTATGACTGTAGAAAAATGATGACAAAGAACGCTACCAATCTTCTGACAGAAAGGTAATGGATTCAAGATACAGAATGAGAAATACATTTTTGTACAACACCCCACGCGGAATCTGCTTGACTACATACGTATTTGCTATGAGGGTTTTATTTTTCTTTTATTCTATTGGGAGGAGGCAGGAGAGAAAATAAATGCTTGTTAACTAACATTTTAAAAGTATTTTTAAATACCTCTATAAGAAAAAAAGAAAAAGAAAAAGGCAACTACATTAGTTCAGTAGAGAAGTGATGGAGGTCTGAACTAGGGTTGTGGCTATATGAGTGGCAAGAAGGGGAGACATATATGAGAGATGCTAAAAAAGCAGAAATAATAAGATTGAGCAACTAACTGAATGGATATGAGAAATGAAAGAGAGTGAGGATTTGAGGATGCCCACTAAGGTTATAAGCTTGATGGACTGGAAAGATTGTGGTGCCCTAACAGGGAAGGTTAGAAGGGAATATGATGGAGAAGTCAAAGAAGTCCAAAATAATGTGATCAACAAATGAGATAACATTGAAAGAAAATATAAAAGGGAATAGGACAGAGTTTGGGGGACATCTACAAAGCAAAGGAAACCAAGATGAGCTGTGAGACATATAAAAAGAGAGAAAAGTGTCACAAAAACCTAGGGAGAAAGAGTATCCAAAAGGGGATAGTGACTGCCACAGGTCAAAAAGAATTGAGACTGAGAAAAGAACATTAAATTTGGCAATCAAGCGAACTCTGATAATTGTGGAAAGGGCAATTTCATTTGAATAATGAATGAGGAAACCAGACTGCAGAAGGTTTAGAAGAGATGGAGAAGAAAGGAAGAACTAAATGAAGACAGTGTTGTCAAGGAGGATAGCAACAAGGAGAGACATGGGACAATAGCAAGTGAATATATATGAGGGCTTTTTAAGAACGGGGGAGACATGACCATGTTTGCAGACAGCAATGAAGAAGCCAGAAGATAGGGAGAGATTGAAGATAAGAGAGGGCATATCACAAAGCATGAAATGAATCATCTAAAATCTATAATTTACTCTTCTCAAGAATAAAAATATGTAAAATTTTCACCATTGCTGGTTACCATTGTTACAATGTAAACTTCATCTTTTTAACTGGCTTATTCATGGAGAGTGGTGATATGAATATCATAAGCTGAAAATATTACTATTGCTATTGCAGTGGTAATTAATATAAACTATGTTTATATATCTGAAATGTCAAATCAGCTATGTGACATTTGTAACAGCAAGTTTTCTAAGATGAGTAGAACTGGTTTTTAAATATTATATATAAACACCAAAATCAGGGTTATAATCCTAACCTACTCTCCTTTTCAAGGCTAAAAGATCCTGGGCACATTGTAATGAAATTTGTTGAACCAATATTTTATAACCACTCTTTATACCAGAGTACCATCCTTGAGAGGAAACAAGTAACATCTATGAAGGGAACCAGTACCTTCAAATCTTTTGTGACTGTCATAATCGTCAGAACAAATCACCTCAATAAACCTGTTCTGTAGAATTTCATTATGATGAGCCAGAACTTCAGTGACACCATCATCACCATTCAAAAAGCTCCACAATAAAAGACTGGCAAGTAGACCAGATGATCCCAAAAATGAAATTTTCAACCATTTCCTCTGGGATTCATGATGGACTCGATTCTTCTTTATACTAGGGACAGAAAATAAACTAATATCAATTTTCATCTAACATTTGATTGAATATTGCAATACACACAACTAACTCTTAAAACAGTCTCATATTACCCCTGAAATAAATATTTCCAGAGTCCATAGCTGACTGAAACTTAACCAGAACTTTATGTCAATCCACAAATAATTATTAAGCATCTAACAGACTTTCAGAAGAAACATGAAAAAAAAAAACACCCCTCCACAAAGCAGTCACAGTCAGGATCACAGAGGTAGGTAAAAATACATATGTAAACATTACAGAACAAGGCAATAACAGTTTTAACTGTGTGGTGATCTCTGATTTAATTGGTGTCCAGGCTTGAAATAAGGTCCAACTCCACACCCCAACTCCTCCTCTAAGATCCTCTGAGATTCAAACTCCAAATGACAGAAATCACCCCTGGTTGCAACAGCAGCACTATTAGGCCTGAGAACTAAGGAACAGGGGTAACAAGACAGGATATCAAATGTGGGGAACTATGTAGCAATCCACTAAGCCCAGGGGAAATTGTACAGCATCTAGCTAGAGCCACTTCTACCTCCCCAAAAGTCACTTGGGGCAGAGACCTAGGCTGCCGAACTGTGAAATGCTTAGTGTGGGAAGAGGCTGAGACACCTTGAGATCCACCCAGGGAAACTACCATTAGAAGAAAAGGAGTCAGAAGGTGAGCAATAGGGAAAAATAAAGAGGGGAAAGACTGAAATTACCAAAGATCTCAGGAGATAACTCAGAGATCAAGAGGGAAAATGTCAATAGGAGAAAAAGCAAGCATCCAGATATAGTAAAAGAGTTTAGGAATCTATGAATAGAAAGATTTCCTCTACACAAAAGATAGAATACACAGATGCATTTTCTTTATGTAAAACAAAAGAAAAAGACAACACTTGAAGAGACAGAAGACCCTGTAAAATTTGACCAGAAGCAAAAGTTTTGAGGAAGGAGAGCAAAATATGCTATCTATGAGTGGTTTAAGAGAAATGAAGGAGGTAGAGCCAAGATGGTAGAGTCAAAGCAGGGAATCTCCTGAGTTCTCCCAAATTCCACCCAAAACAACATTAACATAATACCTCAAAAGGAATTCTGGGGCAGCAGAACCAACAAAAGGATGGAGTGAAATAATTTTCCAGCCCAAGATAACTTAGAAGGTTGGCAGGTTTTCCTTCAGATAAAGTCTGCAGACAGACCTTTGTCTGTTTCACTGAGGAGAGAGTAGAGTGCAGTCCAGCCCAGCTTGTCCCAGCTCAAGCCAACAGCAAAGTCCTACAAACCGGCACAAGCCAAGAATAAGGCCCCAGGCCCAGCATCAAGCTACCAGTGAGGCCCTAAGGCCCTGTTCCAAGCAGCTACTAATGGACTATGCCTGGTGCAAGCCAGCAGCAGGCCTTAGAGACAACTGAATCAGCAGTAGCACCTTCTGGAATTCTCAGCCCACAGACAGTAAGGGATCAGACAACTGGTCAAGAGGAAATTACAGGAGATCCTTTGCTGGCACTGGGTGCAGGACTCTGTTGCATTGCCCATACTCAGTTCTGGGCTGCAGTCCCAGGTCAAGGATGATCAGGAACCCTGATCACAGTTGCAGGGTGGAAAAGAATGTTTATGGTCATTCACGGATCAGTGCACAGTCCAAAACAATGACCACACCTTCCTTAGATGATACCACACTGGAAGAACTGAAAACTTACAGATGCCTAGAACTGGCTCTGAACACAACAGCACAAAAATCCTGAGGCTTAGGACAGTACCCCTCCACCCAAGGAGCAGAGCCCAACTTTAACATAAAGTTAAAAGCCATATGAGCAAATATCAAAAAAAGAACCAGACAAGAGAAAGTTACTATGGTGAAAGGAAAATCAAAACAGAACTCAGAAGACAGTGAGATCAAAACAGTTATATGCAAAGCCTCAAAGAAAAATGTGAATTGGTCTCAGGCTCTGGAAGGGCTCAAAAAGGATTTTAAAAATGAAATAAGAGAAGCAGAGGAAAAATGGGGAAAAGAAATGAAAGTGATGCAAGAAAGAGTAAACAGTTTGGTAAAGGAGTCATACACAAAAAAATACTGAAGAAAATAAGAACCTAAAAAACAGAATAGGCCAAATGTTAAAAGAGGCACAAAAATCCACTAAAGAGAAAAATTCCTTAAAAAGCAGAAATGGCCAAATGGAAAAAGGGGTACAAAAATTCACTGAAGAACTCCTTAAAAAATATTTAGACAGAGGGTATAGGTGTGAATTGACTATGACAGGATGATATAAAAAAAATTAAGGGGTGAAAAAAAAGGGGTGCACTGGGAGAAAGGGGAAAGGAGAAGTAGAATAGGGGAAATTATCTCACATAAAAAAGGCATGAAGGAGCTTTTACAGTGGAGAACTTGGGGGGGGAGAGGAAGTGGAAGGCAATGCTTATTCTTACTCTAACTCAACCTTACTCTCATCAGAATTGGCTCAAAGAGGGAATAACAAACACTCAGATATAGAAATCTATCTTGCCCTACAAGGAAGTAGAAGAGGAAAGGGAAATGAAAATGGGGGGAACTGATAGAAGGGAGAGAAGATTAGGGGAGGTTGTGGTCAGAAGCAAAACAATTTTGAGGAGGGAGAGCATAAAAGGAAAGAGAGAGAGACAGAGAGAGAGAGAGAGAGAGAGACAGAGAGAGAGAGAGAGACAGACAGAGAGAGAGAGAGAGAGAGAGAGAGAGAGAGAGAGAGAGAAAGAGAAAGGATAAATAGAAGAATAAAAGCAGGATGGAGGAAAATAAAGTTAGCTATCACAACTGTGAATGTAAATGGTATGAAATCACCCACAAAACAGAATCAGATGGCAGAATGGATTAAGAAGCAGAACCCTTAACTTCTTTCGTATTTATCTTTTGGTTAGATTAATCTAGTTCTGAACCCTACAATATGTTGTTTACAAGAAACACACCTGAAGCACAGAGACACATACAGAGTAAAGGTAAGGTACTAGAATGAAATCATTATGCTTCAGCTGAAGGGAAAAAAACCAGGGGTAACAGTCATGATCCCAGACAAAGCAAAAGCAAAAATAGATCTAACTAAAAGAGATAAGCAAAGAAACTACATATTGCTAAAAGTTATTACAGACAATAAAGTAATAGCAATACTCAATACATGTACCAAATGGTATAGTGTCCAAATTCTTAAAGGAAAAATTAAATGAGTTACTGGAGGAAATAGACAGTAAAATCACACTAGACGAGGATTCTACTTGCTCCTTTCAGAACTAGATTAATCTAACCGAAAAATAAATATGAAAGAAGTTAGGGAAATGAATAGAATTTAGAAAAGTTAGACATGATAAACCTCTGGAGAAAATCAAATAGGAAGAGAAAAGAATATACCTTTTTCTCAGCAGTACACGGCACCCACACAAAAACTGCCCATGTATTAGGGCATAAAAACCTCACAACTAAATGCAGAAAAACAAAAATTTTAAGTGCATCCTTTTCAGACCATAATGTAATGACAACTACACTCAATAATGGGCTGTGGAAACATAGATTAAAAATTAATTGGAAACTAAATAAGCTAATGCTAAAGTTGGCTGGTTGTCATTCTTTATTCTCAAAGAGGACCAAAAAGACATCACTATGTTGGCATCAAAGTACAGTGTCCCACTGTGGCTAATCAGACCAATGCAAACTCAGAAGGCTCTACCACAGATAGGGCACAAATATGAACATTTGGAGTGTCTCTAAATTTGCACATCTCACGTTTCTTTTGAGCCACTGTAATTATGCTTTGCTATAGAGCACAGCGCCTTCTTTGATGCAGGTACACCATGCTGGACAGGTCCTGTGCCACTGTCTCCCATATCTCAAAATCTATTCCAAAATTCTTCAGAGATACCTTAAGAGTGTCCTTGTATCACTTCTTCTGACCTCTATGTAAGTGTTTCCTTGTGTGAGTTCTCCATAAAATAATCTTTTTGGCAAACATACGTTTGGCATTCAAACAACAGGGCCAGCCCATCAGAGTTGTACTCTCTGCAGTAGAGTTTTAATGCTTGGCAGTTCCACTCGAGAAAAGACCTCAATGTCCAGTACCTTATTTTGCCAAATGATCTTCTGAATCTTACTAAGACAATTCAAATGGAAGCAATTCATTTTTTTCTGGCATAGTGCTGGTATACTGTCCAGGCTTCACAGGCATATAACAATATGGTCAACACAATGGCTCTGCAGACCTTCAGTTTGGTAGGTAATTTTATACATCTTCTCTCCCACGCTTCCTTTAGAATCTCCCAAACACTAAGCTAGCTCTGGCAATGCAGGCATCAACTTCATCATGTATGTGGACATTCCTGGAAAGTATACTGCCAAGAGTAAGTGAACTTAACCATAGCATTCAAAATTTCTCCATTTGCTATAACCAATGGTTCCACATTTGTGTGAGGCTGGCTGGAGGAGAACCTCTGTTTTATTGGTGTTGATTGTGAGGCCAAAATTAGCACAAGCAGCAGAAAATCAATCCATATTTTGTTTCCTCTTAACCTCAGGGGCTGCACTGAGTGTATAATCATCTACAAAAAAACACACACCAAGTCTCCTTCCACTTTAGTCTTGACTTGTAGCCTTTTCAAGTTAAATAATAAACCATCACTTCGGTAGCTCATTTTAATGCCGTTTTTATCCTCATTGAAGGTGCCTGACAACACTGCTGAAGATATTATGTTAAAAACGATGGGAGCAAGCACACAGTCCTGCTTCACTCCACCAGTGAGTGGGAAGAGATAAGAGCATCGTCCATTAGAGAGAACCTATGCAAGTATGCCATCATGAAACTGACATATAATACTGATGAACTTCTGTAGGCAACCACATTTTACCAAATTTTTAATCCGAAAGAATGACTAAATCAAAGAACAAATCATAGAAACAATCAATAATTTCATTAAAGAGAATGACAATGACACAAGATACCAAAATTTATGGGATACAGCCAACGTAGTACTTA